CCCCCCCCCCATGTGACTTCAAAACCTCTTAATGTCTTGCTTTGACAATCTATTGGAAAACTAACCTGGTTGCTAGCAATTAGACTCAAAGAAGTGTTGCCAGAGATCATTTCCCCAAATCAAGCAAGATTTATTAAGGAATGCCAAATTGCAAATAATGTAATTTTAGTCCATGAAGTCATTCATACAATGAGGCAACAAAAGGGAAAGAAGGGCTGGTTAGCTGTTAAGCTAAACATGTCGAAGGCATATGATCGGATGGGATGGGGGCATTTATTGAAAGTAATTGATCAAATGGGCTTCTCATCAAACTTTCGGGAGCTAATACAGCAGTGCCTCACGATAAGCTCTTTCTCAATTGTCCTCAATGGCAAGGTAGAAGGCAGGTTCACCCCACAGAGAGGTCTATACTAAAACAATCCTATTTCACCATACTTATTTCTTATTGGATTGTAGGTATTATCCTCATGGTTGGAAAAATGAACAACAAAAACATATCCAAGGAGTGAAGATTGCACGATGAGCTCCACCCATGTCTCATTTATTATTTGCAAATGATTGTTTTCTATTCTGCAGAGCGGAAATGAATCAACTAAAGAGGCTCAAAACAGTTCAAGAACAATTTGTTGCGGTTTCGAGCCAGTCAATTAACTATCAAAAATCAGCATTATTGTTTAGTAATAACATTCCAAGAAGACAACAAAGAGCAATGCAATAGTTCATAGGCTCGGAGAGGATGAGTTTTAATGATAAGTACCTGGGAGCAAGATTGTGGGTGGGAAAGAAAAGAATAGGTGCGTACAAGGAAATCCTTGGACAAGTGCAAAGTCGGGTGGAAGCATGGCAATCAAGATTGTTGTCATAGGAAGGGCACACAACATTGGTGCAAGCAATGGCTCAAGCTCTCCCTAGTTACCAAATGACCACAGGTCTTCTACCCAAAAAAGTTTTATCGAAAATGGAGATGAAACAACTCTTTTGGTGGCATGGAAGAAGGGGAAGGAAACTGACTGTTATGGCATGGGCAAAGATAACCAGTCCTAAGGAAGAGGGTGGGTTATGACTAAAACCTATTGAAGAATGGAATCAAGCCTTACTGTTTAAACAGTTTTGGAGATTGATGAATGAGAAAGAAACATTGTGGGCCCGAGCCATACGAGCAAAATATTTGCAGAATATAACATGGTATGATGCCAAGCCGGCCTCGAACCATTCAATTTGGTGGAGATATCCTAAAATTTAAGGAGAAGCTAAAAGATAACTTCATTTGGAAGATGGGAGATGAAAAAGATGTATGGGTATTTGAAGAACCATGGGTACCATTGCTACCAGATGGCATACCCAAAGGAAAACCAGAGGACCAACTCCAAAGACCACAACTAAAAGTAAAAGACTTGTTAACAGATCAAGGCCTTTGGAATAGAGAGTTGGTGGATAGATGGTTTAAAAAGGAAGAATGTGAAGCAATCCTAAGTGTGTTACCCAGTCGAGTGCAAAGTAGTGACCAACTACTGTGGTAGCCAACACTAGGGAGACAATACAGAGTGCAATAAGCTTATAAAAGTCTACGAGGACATGGACAGAGTTCTCCCTTTGCCGAGGTATGGAAAAGGATTTGGAAACTTGATGTAAACATTAGAATCAAGTTGTTCCCATGGAAACTGTGTAGGGGTGGATTACTAACCAAAGATAAATTATGGAGAAGTAAACTAAGGAAGGAGAAAGAATGTGAGGTGTGTGGAATGAATGAGGAAACAGAATACCATTTGTTCGTGGCATGCCCTTTCACTCACGCCATATGGTTACAAGCTGGTGTGGGTTTTAACCCAGAATATTTCGATGAAAATTCAATAATGGTTATAATCAATGAATGGCAACAAACATTAGAAGGAACAAGGGCGGAAAAATCAGAATTACTGAAGAAGTGTGCAGTATATGCAAAATTTATTTGGGAGAAGCGCAACAAGATAATATTCAGCAGTGAATCCATCAACCCCTTGTCACTTCACCCATGGATCCAACAATATCTAGCAATGTTGGATAACAGTCCACACAACTAAACAAAACAAATAGGATGCAACACCAAAATCATCTTAATGTTGATCCTGATTCTTATGTTATATTCACTGATGGATCATTTGTAAATCATCTTGTAGCTTCTGCAGCCTATGTTATCATATCTCCTCACAACTCCTTTGTTACAACAGTAGGACGTAAATGTTAAGCTCGGCAAGCAACACATGCAGAATGGTGGGCGATCAACCATGCTATGGACAAAGCTCGTCAACTGGAGTTGAGTAACTTAGTGATATGTACAGATGCACAAAACATTGTAAATAGTATGCACACAAAGCAGGGTAGATTGAAATGGCAGGAACAGGCTATGTGGGAACAGGTTCACTTTTTGAAAGCCTTTCTTGCTAAGTGTATCTTTCTGTATGTTCCTAGCTGAGAATACTATAGCACATGAGTTAGCTTCTGAGGCTAGATTGTCTGAGAACAGTCAACTGGAATTCCATGATGTACCTCCCGATTGGACGAGAAAATTATTTTGCATTAATCCTTCCCTAGAGGAGCTTTGTAATCTCTCTGACTCTAAGTAAGTAATGTAAGTTTTTTGGTTTGCCGAGCAAAAAAAAAAAAATTAACCTGGGTATAATGTCGTATAACATTAAAATTAGAGGATATTCAGGATTCCGGGGTAAAACAAGTAGAAGGTAAAGAAACAAATAGCGCTAGGGTTTAAAGTGAAACCAAAGGGATATGTTCAAATAACATCGATTGTACTGTGAATCTGACAATACAGGCGATGGAGTTATTGTTTCCTTTCTGATGTTTACCTGGAGACCGGCTCGGGATGAACGTGAAACTGGCTTCTTCTTATCTTTGTCCTTGTTGGCAGCTGTCGTTTTTCCCGCCAAAAGCCCTTTTCCACCTTTGCCCGCCATTTTCCCGCCTAAAACCAAAAAAACGCATACTGTTTAATTTTTAAAAATATGTAATACATAAACAAGAAAATTCCCCTTAAAATAAATTAAATTAAATGTTAATGGATTCGCCATTGGTTTCCCCTAATTTCACCAGGCGATCCAGGCCGGCAACCACAGCACGAGCATGGGAGAAGATTCAGAAGAAAACGGGAAAAAAAGTAAATGAATACAAACTAAATAAAAGCAAGGAAGGAGATAAAGACAAATCAGAGAGAAAGAGAGGTCCCCTTGAGATTTCTCCAGAAAGAACTAAGAAAACAATGTAGTTTTAAACCAAAAAAGAAAAAACACATATATGTTCAGGAATCGAATCTCCGAAGAAAAACAAAAATAAAGCGCAAGCAGGAGGAAAAGGGTAGAAGAATTGAAATTTTAAACCCTTCCACAGACACACACAAAGAGGAGAAGAAAAAACTAAGAAACCTTCGAAATGTTAATAGCGCTTCATATCAGATGAGAGAGAGAGAGAGAGAGAGACCTGGTTTTGATAGTGCGCTGAGAATGGAAAAGCAGAGAAGAACTTTGATTTGCGGGGTGTGGACTGTGGAGGGGTTCGGACTTCGGAGACGTTGCTGGGTCTCTTCTTTCTTCCCTTGTACCTTGTTACGGTTTCGGTTTCCGACTTCTTTAAATTGGATCCTCCCAAACAAGGTCTTTACTTTTTAGTAATAATAATAAAAAAAAAAAAAAGTGGTTTTATTATCTTTGGTGGGAAGGGAAGCAAACCCTTGACCTTCTTTCGATTTCGAATTTTCCCCGTTTTACTGTTTTACCCTTTCTTTTATCCTAATGTACGAGAGGATAGTTTTCCTTTATAATTTTGTTACGGGCTTCGGCATTACGATAGATGCCAAAATATCCCTAATACTATGGGGTGTCAGTGTCACTTCCAGTATCCCCTTTCCCTGAACTTTACGTTAACGGCTAAAGCCATTTTATTAAAACGACCCTTTTTACTCTATCCGGTGGGTAGGGGCGTGAGCCTATTTTTGAAACTGAACCGGTCTAATCGGTTTCTGGAAAACCGATAATCAAAACTTTTAAAATCTAACCGGTCCTACCGGTTTCTGGAAAATTGATAACAAAAATTAAATCGAAGTTGATCAGTTAACTGATTGACCAGTTTGACTAACCATTGAATCAGTTTATCGTTTTTTTGGTTTTTTTATAGTTATAATATATATTATAAAAAACATATAAATATATATAATATTATATTTTAAATAATAAATAATATATTATATATTATAAATATATATTTATATACATAATGCATATTTATTAATTTATAATATATATAATATACATAAATATATATAAATTATAAAGAAATATATGTATATCGATCACTTCGGTTAACCATCGATTTTCTATATTGCTTAACCGAAACTGAACCGGTACCTTCTGTTTTTTAAAAATATCAAACCGAAACTGAACCCATCGGTTTGGTTAACCATATTTTTTGTTCAATTTCGATCAATTTTTTTGGTTCGGTTTGGTTTTTTAGTTTTTCTTGCTCACCCCTACCGATGAGTACACGCCTCTACCCTCCCCAATGAGGCAGTTTTTTTTTTTTTGGCTTAAATTATGGGTTTTGGAATTCTACAACCTGTATGGGTACAGGTAGGGTACAGTATTAGGCTAAACTCGACCCTCCCCGACTCACATATTGTTGGAAAAGCATATAAACTTTATGTACTAGGTGTTGAGTTTAATAATATTTTAAATTTATGTGAATGATAATTGATAGTTTATGTGTTTTTTACATGTATTAATCAAATATTAGAAATCTTGATATTTATTTGTGTTGTTTTACTTATTTATTGCTTATATATGACAAGAAATAATAGGAAATTAGATGCAGATTTTAAACCCAAGCAGCTCCTACCCTTGAATGCAGGGAGGGTTTTGCACTTTCATGTTTAGGGAGGGTTTGGATTCTCAAAACCCAACCCGCTACGGATTTTGGGGCGGGTACAGGTTGGGAGGTTTAGAGGGGTGAGTAGGGTCTAGAATTTACAAAACTCTTCCTGAACCCACCTTATTGCCATCCCTAAATATATGGGCATTTCAACGACGAGACAGCCTGAAGGTGTTTTTGCCGCATACAAGCATATGAATTTCAATTTTCCACTTATTTATTCTCACTAGTAAGTTGGTACGTGCTTTGCACGTGGGAGATTAACATGATAATGATTAAAGTATGAAAAATTAAAAAGAACTTCTTTGTAGAAATAGAGGTTTAAATGTAGACACATGATTCTGTCTAGCATCACAATACTTCATTAAGTCAGTTGACTGGTTAATAGCTTGACTATTCTAGTAGAAAATAGAGAAAACATGTTCAATATCTAGTGACAGTACTGCCAATATTGGATGAGGATGCTCATAATTGAAATGAATAAAGATGAAAATGGGCTGGTTCAATTTGGCAATTTGACCCTACTGAGTTGGTTTCTACCATTTTCTATGTTCCTGGTCTGATTTTTTTTTTTTCTAGCTGGAGCATTAGAATTCCTATTGGTTACTGCAATCCTTAGTTATTGATCTAAGTTTAACATGCCCTACCCCCACATTTTGGTGCAGTGAACATTTCATAAACAAGTTACACTTTTATTTTCAATTTAAAGTTTTAAGCACAACTAAACCATATCTAACCAGGGTCCAATAACACTTAATGTAACCATATGAGGTACTAGAGGTATCATAATACCAATTGAAGGATTGGGTTATTACAGTTTAATTCATTTTGAATGTTATGCTTTGTAAGTTTGTAACAATGTTGTACTGAATGTTCTAGTCCATTTTGACTATATATTTATTCTACCAGCAGCAATTGCATTATTTGATAAGAACATAAGATCATTAAAAAGTTGTAGATATGTCTAGAGTAGTATGTCCATAAATGCTTGTAGATATTCTCAACTTTGTATTACCCCCTGCCACATTGATTTGAAGGAAGAAGCTGTAAAGAAAGAGGTAATCACTATTATTGGATTTATATAAGAATAAGAGCATTAATGAAATAAGCCCAAGGATGTAGTCCTAATAAGACTAATGTTGTTGGATCTTTCTGTTTTGTAGCCTTAGACTCAATTAGCTTCAAGGAAACCCAAAAAGGCTCAAGCTCTAAGAAGTGGTGCTTCTTCTTGAGCAGTGGGGTACAAGGGTTCGTTGCTAATGCTAAAGGATGTTATTAATTGTTTCAACTTCTCTTTAGAGGATGATTTTTGTTTCTTCCAAAGAGGCATTGAGATTTGTTGTTAATAATTGATCAGTAAAATGGTTAAATATCAAATGATCAACAAAAAGTGGGGCATATAGTAATGATCGCCTAAAGGGTGGCTAGTGGTGGCATAATAGGTTATTGAGTGATTCCATTTATCGCACACTCAGGCCTTGACTGTACAACATTTCCTTTTAATATAGATAGTAAATTTTTGTTTTCAATTCACAAAACGATGAAAAAAAATTTAGGACAACATAAGATTAAGTGGTTTATTGGTTAGAGGTCAATTACAGTGAATTTGAGATTACTCCAAAGAAAGCTAAGTGCCAAAATCACCTAAATGGTGTTAAATTTGAGGCAACTGTAAATTTGACAATAGATTATGAGAAGAATAGTCTAACATTTATATTGTGTTAGAGAAAAACTAGACATATAGAATTTAATGGGGTTACTTTCCCTACTGACGGAACAGGTAGGTCCTCTACACTTGGTACTCTAGATGGATTTCCAAGCCATAAAAAGAAGAAGAAAAGTGTGCATTGCTTAGAATTTTTCTGATTTGAGATTTTATTCAAATCATTCAATTCAATTTACTATCATGTAATAAAGGATCCTCTCTCTCTCTCTCTATATATATCCCTTTCAATGTTTCTAAACACTAATAACACTAAAAAAGAAAGCAAGCAAGGAAATAAAAACTTGCAACTCTTAACCACTTACCAGTCCCATCAAAATGTTACAATCAAGAAAAAAATTTAAGGAGCAAGCCAAGGTTTTAACCCCATAACTACAACTGCCATGACAACCATACCAACACCAATAGTAATTATCTTGACTCAGTTTTTTGTATCTCCCAACATCAACCGGTTCTCCAGAGTTGTTCTTGTCTTTTGAAACTGATGTTACTGCTACTCTTGTAATTATGCATATCAATATTAAAACCAAAAGTAGAAAACAAAGCCAATGTGAACCACTCCCCACTAATGGATGTCTTCTTACCTTATCATTGTTCTCTAATTTCTCTTTATGAGTCTTCCTCAGCTTTCCTAGACCTATGCTATTGAATGCCTTCTGTGCATGTCCTTTAGTTTGACATTGTTCTCCTTTCTCTTCTGCAATGACAATTAATAACTTGGCATTTTTCAGTCCACTACCCAACTCTAGTTTCTTGGCGTTGTTGTCATTTGTCAATGGGATGGGATCAAAGCAAGGGATGCCACTAGTATACTTCAAGTTAGAACAATTCCATCCACTGGGACCCATGTTACACCTTAGCGAGAGATAAAAGTATTTTTTTTGTCTTCGAATGAGCTAATCAAAATCCTAGCAATTATAAAGGCACGTGTATAAAAAATGCGAATTAAACAATCATAGATTCACTTTGGGAAATACCTGGGTTTTATGGGAAACTGCCCTAGTCCTTGGTTAACCTAAGGATTTGTGACGAAAGAGATGCTTAATTGAAAAATGTTCAAAACAAAATCTCTCATTGCCAGCCAACTAGGTCTATCACGTGCTAAATTACCAATTTTGAAAGGATCGATGATGACTTGGTGAATGGGACTAAATGTGGTTTAGGACAGGAGATCTAAAATGAAGGGTAAAAGGCTCAAAAACTTAATTATAATGGGAAACCGAATGTTTGACCTTTATGCAAGGCTGCTATTTTCTCTTCATCCCTTCTCTTTTTTTTCTCTCTATTTATTTCTTTTATTTTTTTTTTACACACTATTCATATCTTCCAATATGAACCATGTTTCTTCACCAATCACGGAGGATTTCACATATTAAAGAAATACTCAACCCAATTGATTATAGAATGATTAAAATATATAGTCTGCCCCATTTTTTTTAACACCACCTCTTTCCTTTTTCAACCTTTTACAAATACTTTTTTATCATTTTCCCCCACTTTTTATCTGCCCCAATTTCCCTAGTTTGATCTTCTTTGATTGTCATTCCATTAAAGCTTTCCAATTTTTCCATCTTCATTGACTATTCCTTCATATTAAGTTGCGCCAATTTCTTCTTCATTACCCCTTCCCGTTTCTCTTCTTTTTTTCACCGTTTTTTTATTTTTATTTTTATTCTTTTCTTTTGTTTTGGCCCTGCAAAATGCATGTTGGGAATTTAACTAGTTCACCAAGGAAATGGTATTTATGCATTGGCTCAATCGGACTGATTAACGGATTTTAAGAATTAATAGGGTTACTTGAGAATTAAGATGGCCAAAGGAGGCCTCTAGTCTTTTCCTTTATCAATTAGCAAAGCACTAGGTCATGATTAGGGGTGGATTTGAGTCGAGCCGAGCCGAATAGTACTAGGCTCGAGCTCGGCTTGAGACTATTCTACAAAGCTCGAGCTCGATTCAAGCCAAAACCTTGAGCTTGAGCTCGGCTCATTTTATATTTTATTATAAATATATTTAAAAAATATTTTATAAAAATAAAAAAATATATATATAATTTTTTTTATTTTATATTTAAAAAATTAAGAACTATAATAATTAATAATTATTATATTTTTATTATATATATATATATATATATATTTGAGCTGGCTTGCGAGCCAAGCTCTAGTAGGCTCAAGTTTGGCTCATTTAATAATCGAGCCACTGAATTGGGCTCGAGCTTGGCTAAAATCGAGCCAAGCCGAGCTTTTTACGAGCCGAGCTCGGCTCATTGCCACCCCTAGTCATGATGATATCTTTACTTTGTGTTGGATCTAGGGAATTACTAGAGGATACATACTTGAATGGTTAAATCTGCCCCAATTTATGACACTTGGGTGTTCCTAGAAAAGATTAAGATTTATGCTCAAGGCGGTTTGAAATGTTCACTGAGGTGGGTATGGGTGGGAATCAATGCTTTTATTTATTAGGCTATCGACTTTTTCCGAGCATTTTTAGATGTAAGTCAATGATGGTCAACTAGCCCTTTACGAAGATATGTTTTGTGATTCATTGCAAATCCATAATTATCTTAGGTTTTAATTATGCAACTTTCTTAGAAATGGAAATCTTCATCTTCTTCTAAGGGAAATGTGACCCAATAGGATTTATTGTTCTATCATGGATAAGTGATTTAGGAAAAAGTGAATGGTAAAAGAAAATGATTGGAAAAACTGATATTTTATTGATGGAAAGGGTTGGAATTACCCTAGAAATGGGAATACATAAATAAGGGTAAAAGACTTAAACCTCTCTCAAAATTTGTTGTAAATACTGAAACCTCTCATTTCTTTTTAAAATTGACTAATACTTTCTTGTTGAAATTATGCCTAATAAAATGATCAAAAAGTCTCTTTTATCCTTTTTAATTATTCAAAATTTCAAAATAGTAGAATTACAACAAGTTAATTAAAATTGACATGTGAGATTTTCTTAAAGTAGCGTCTTCGTAGTCTCCTAATGCATAGACAGACCACCAGTGCAAATCAAGTGAGGTGCAGATCAAAGCTCATGTCAGAGTTTATTTTTCTTTAGCCTAGCACTTGCACTTCAAAAAACATGAGAGAAATCCTGGGAAACAATAACTCGATGCTAAATTTATTCTCTGTCTAGATATTCTTAGACACGTACGTGTTACGAAAGATTGAATCTCATACATATTATCCTTTTATTCGTAAGGCTCATATACATCTATTTCACACTAAATTACATTCAACCCAGATAAATATGTTCCCATTTCACTGAATCGACTACCTATTGATGAAGCAGATTGCAAAGAATAAAAATAAATTCTGTATCGTAGCAACCTAAACGTATGAACCAAAAATCTAGAAGGATGAAAATTTCAAGATTTAGGGTATTTAATCATGGCCAAAGTCAAATTTGGATTTTAGCAAAGTGTGATGTAGATTGCTTGATGCGATTATATTAAATCCTGATGGATAATGTAATCTATTTATCAATTAGATTAAATTTAGGTATTGTTTGATGCGATTATATACATGCACAAAAGCCTTTCAACAATTTTAATTTAAACTTCTTTAGGTTTTATATAAATCTATTTTTTTTTTTTTTGTTTTCCATTTGTAATACGTGATTATTTTTACTTTTTTTTGCTTTATGTTTAATCTTATACATTCTGCTTGTTTATGTAGATTCACTTATATTCAAATCAAATTGGATATCCAAAATTCTAAACTAACAGAACTCAGATCCATATTTTATGTAGTAAAGAGTTGGGATGAACTCCTGTTGCCATAGTGTCGATTGTTGAGGGTGTAATGGCTATCAAAAGTGGTAACCAATCGGGTGATTAGTGGGTCAATTGATGGGATCTCCGGCTGTTTGTAGTGGATGGAGTCTCATGATCAAATCTCATTGCCACCAGGGACCAAGGTTGGGGTGAGGGGTAATGAATGCAAAATCCATGAAAAGTTTTGATTAGGGATGCAACTTAGAATGGCTCGGCTTGGAATTTTGCCAAAATTTGAGTGGATTCAGGCCTTAGTGTAAAATGCTTACTCGGGCCAACCTTAAGTTAAATTGAATCCCTAATTTTGATTAATTAAAGTTTTTTTTTTTCCTGATATCATTCATTCCCTATTCCCTATTCCCTATTCCCTTGGGCATGATAAAAATTGTCATATATATTATCTATAAAATGTCTTGGGATTGTTTTGAGATAGAATCTGAAACTTTGATGCATACCTAAATGCTATCGAATTTCCATAGGATAATTGAAATATCAGCCCATCACAAAATGTGAGGATACCAACTGACCACCTAAACTACACCATTGTCATTTGTGACGGAGGAAACTCCAATGGGCAATGGCTATGGATGTAATGTAATCACGTTTTTATCATTTGCTTTTCATAACAACGTCCAAAAAAAGATCTTGGGAGCATAGCTTAGACTATAAGTCAGAATCCATTGCTTGGAGGGAATGAGTAAATGCATGCCTATTTTTATAAGGAGGGATTCGGCTTTGGAGAACTGCAGACTAAACAATGGCGTTATAGAAAGAACTGCAGACTACTGCGGGTGATCTTATTTCCCTTCTTCGACCGATCAAATACAGCAGAGTAACATGTTACAACGTGATCCATGATCCACGTCGCAAGTTTATACGGTCAGATGCTGATCTACAAACGCATCCTGTTTCTGTGGTCCCCAGACCCGAGATTTTTTGCTGCAAATTCGCACAGCACAGCGGTTCCAGCGCCACGGGGACATTGTATGAATCGTCTTCATTCGGACCCCACTCTAGTAGGAATCGGACGGTCAACAATTTGGACCTTTTTAGATTCGCATCTTGCCAATGCCATTTTCTCGGTCCCTCCATCTCTCTTTTCTGTTTCTGTAATCTGTACTGTCTCTCGACTCTCGACTCGCCAACCTATAGGAATAGGGCGACAACTACGAAGTTCGAGCTCTCAGGTCTCCCACTTGATAACACCCCTCCCCATCATCGTTACACGTTACAGCCGGCCGTTTCTCCCCTCTTTGTCATCACTCCCTTGCTCTTAATTCCCTTCTTTTGAATCTCCAATTATCGGGAGCTGCTTCTGTAGGTATCCAAATCTTCTGCCTTTCCCCAACCCCTCAACACACACCGACACCGAAAACTCTATATTTTAGTTCTAATCGTCGACATTCCGTCACCGGGAACCCCAAAAGCAAATTAGAAAGTTGATTTCGCGGCCAAGAATGGCTCAAGCTTTACATTTCGCCGTATCTTCTCCATCACCCGCTCGTTCCTTATCGAAGCTCTCCTACTCGAAACATTCTCAATCTCTTTTCCATCGTCGTATCCCCGCCACATTCGTACGGAAGCCGATTTCAGCCGTGTCTTCAGATCTCGAGTCTTCGTCACATCAGGTTCTGGTCTCTGAGAATGGGAAAGGTGGGATTTTTTTGGCTGCATCACCACCGCAGACAGCGGCGACGACGGATTCGAGTGTCATCGAGGTTGATGCAGTGACGGAGGCTGAGCTGAAGGAGAATGGGTTCCGTAGCACGCGGAGGACGAAGCTCGTTTGCACGATTGGTCCGGCCACTTGCGGATTTGAGCAGTTGGAAGCGCTTGCCGTTGGCGGGATGAACGTGGCGCGTATCAACATGTGTCACGGCACGCGGGAGTGGCATCGGACTGTGATCGAGCGGGTGAGGAGGTTGAATGAAGAGAAGGGATATGCTGTTGCAATCATGATGGACACAGAGGGGAGCGAAATTCACATGGGGGATCTTGGTGGCGCTTCATCCGCCAAGGCTGAGGTATTTTGCACCTCGGATTTTAATTTACATCTTTCATTATAACACTGAAAATACAATTAATTCTCAGCATTTGCTTTTAAATTATTACTCTTATTGCATAAAGATGGAATTTAGTCTAAGAAGGAGGATTTTAGAAGTTATTTCGTTCTCTTTATTTATTTATTTTTTTTATTTTCTTTTAGTTGGACATAACTTTGTTGAGGGGTCTTTGTCTCTTTGGCGTTTATGGGATGGGTGTAGTAAAAGTATTTCGCTTCAAGTGTTACTATTGTAACATTTTATTCGACGCCAGAATTGAATTATTGAAGAGTTTGAAAGCATTTTTCTTTTTCTTTTCCTTCCTCATCAGTAAGTAGAGAGCAATTAAAGCGCTTTGTATATCTACAAGCTGGATGATTTACCAGAGAAATGGAATTCGGTATGGTTTCCATTTTTTTTTTCAATTTTTGTTCCAAGTGTTAAAGTCAATTTTTGTCTTAGGGATGGACTTTGATAGGATAACTGCCATTGTGCATCTCCATGTAACTTTTCCTCTTTCTTGGAAAAGTAAATAAGAATCGGTTATCAGATCAAAGAGGCATGTGATTTGAGTGGTAAATTGAATCCCTTCGAATAGCTATCAGGAACTAGCCATTCAGCTGCTTGGGCTGGGGGTAATGAGGACTCGAGTGAACATTTTGGGGCTCTAACATTACCAATCTAGTTATGCATTTTATATATGGTGTAATAAAGAGCCCCTAGTTGGTCTTCGGCTGCCCTCGGTACCATTGTGATGTCCCAAAGTCTTGTATATTATCCCATTATATTCATATGAATGCATGATCTAGGCTTGTTGCTGATAAAAGCATATACATCGGCGCTTGAGCCTTTCCATCTAGTGAAATAGTGCTTCATTTTGAGGTTGTTCTTCCATCCATCTGCTAGAATTTGCAGTTCCCTGTACCCATCGGAACAAGGTGTTTGCTCCAGAAACCAGAGCTCTAACTTCTGATACAATGACAGAAAACACAAAGACCAATGCCTATCACATCAATCTGTGAACCATCCAACAACAATCTTTGAGTTGCCCTCAGTCTCCACTGTGTTGTACACCTAAATCCGCCACAAATCTGGACACTGTTTCTGTGCTCTGTTTTCAACTTGAAACAAATCAGATCCTATACAGCCATAATATCTTATGTTTTAATGGTATTTAGTGCAGCCTTATTGAAAAAAAGAGGACAGTATTTGAATTTGAAATTGGCTTGAATTGTGCAGTTGTCTGTTAGCAAGGTTGATCCAGCAATAAGCCTTTTAAACAGAGTAAAACAAATTTTCTTCCTTGTTTAATAAAAGAATATGTTCATCTGTTGGTATTCTTTTTGACTAAAGGTTGATTTAGCTGTCTTCCTGCTTGCAACTACGATGGTGTTTGTTCTGTGGCCGTTTTTTTTGAAAAATGGCACCAGATCATTGTCACATAGGCATTTATTCTAAAATGCTATTTGGTAAGACGTTTATTAGATAAACATTTGTCTCAGTTTCTGCGAGAGCCAACCATTGGGCGGAACTTCAATTTTGATGTTCCCCCAACACCCAGACGTTTATTTACTGTTCAGCTTATGTGGTGCCTAATGGCATCTATTGCACCTAGCTCTCAAACAACAACAATAAACGTTTATCAATTGCTTTTCTTGTTTTTCAAGATAAATCCTGTACAAAACATTTTCTCCAATAAATGGCCGCAGTACCAAACAACCTCTACATCAAAAGTAAAAGAAGGCCATTACCCAATATTGTTCCAAGCCATGATACAGACCTAACTAGGGATGTCAACAGGTTGGGTATGGTCTGGGCCCGCCTGACATGACCTGACTCCACCTGACTAAATAAAATGGATACGAAACCTGAACTAACCCATGCCATGAATAGTACACCTATACCCAATGATCAGACCCTTGTTGTACATGGGTGCTGTTTTTTTGATGATTAATGAAATATGTACTTTTATCTATTTTCAAACAAAAGTACCACTATCTATTTGATGGCAATATTCACAAATGCTTCAATACTTTCATGTCAGTGGGCCGGGCTTGGCAAAGATGACCTCAACCAAAATCCAATTTAGGCAGATTCAACCCTGATCCAATAGGGTTAGATCAAGGCAGGCTTTCCACTCAACCTGATCCACTGACACTCCTAGACCTAACCTTGGGCATTTTCTTTTGTACAAAGTGGCCACTCTCAGATTCAATCATGTTCTCAGCCTGAGATTTTACCATTGCACCAAGAAATGGTGCTTACTACATCAAAAGTCTCATCTAAAATTTGATCTAGGAAGGGTTGGTGTTCTACTGAGATAAATCTGGTGGCATTACTCTCACTATAAGCTCTATAATTTCATTGCAAGTGGTTATCATGTGATAATTTCTTTCTTTTCATCTGAATACTCATGATTCCTGTCTAATCCATTGTCTTTCTACCTCTTTGCCATGTTTATTAGATGATTAAAATGTTGATCACTGACAAGGATGTTATTCATTCATCTTCCTTTGAAAATATTGCATGAAGTCAACATAAAATGTGTCTTGTCTTTTAATTTCAAAATATTTGGAATTGTTCCTTGTCATTTTTCATTGAATATCATAGGAGTGTCTCTGGTTCTAGACATTCCCTTGATATGGTTAATTGAAATGCCTTTGTTAGTATAATAAAGCCTTACAATGCAAATAATGCAATATACATGCTGTTTGTGTGCAGGATGGTGAAATTTGGACTTTCACTGTACGATCTTTTGGTTCATCTCGTCCAGAACGTACCATCAGTGTTAATTATGATGGTTTTGCTGAAGGTTATTGTTCTAAGATCTATTCTTTGGTTAATTGCATAGTTATTCTTCTAAAAATATTTAAAAACAAAAATATCTATTTGGATTTTAAACAAGCTTATGTGTGATGCAGATGTGAAAGTGGGTGATGAACTCCTTGTGGATGGTGGAATGGTGAGGTTTGAGGTGATTGAGAAGATTGGTCCGGATGTCAAGTGCCGCTGTACTGATCCTGGACTGTTGTTACCACGTGCTAATTTGACTTTCTGGCGAGATGGAAGTTTGGTTCGTGAACGTAATGCAATGCTTCCAACAATTTCTTCTAAGGTCAGTAACTGGAACCACAAGAAAAAATAAAAGCAGAGGGTGAAAGTAAGCTGTTTGACGTAGTTCACAATGTTGTTCTCTGAATATCATTGTGAGGTTGAGCTTCACTGATGAAACACCTAGCTGAATTAGGGGTGATCATGGGCCCGTCCGGCCAGGTTTGGCACCTATGATAAGATCTTTAACCTAGGTTTGGGCCTGGCCCAGCCACACCCCAGGCCTAGATTGCAAGCCCAGGTCCAGCCCTACACGGCCTGGGCCAGGCTTATGGAATTTTGGGCCTAATGAGTAATGACTTTTGGCCCATGACATCGAATAAAAATTTAATTAATTAAAACTTTTAAATTAAATAACATGTGGTACATGCAAAAAAAATACACATGTAAAAGTTAAATTGGGATTGGCTAAGCTTTAGGCCTATGGCACAAAAAAAAAAGCACGGGCCTCATTTAATTGCTATGCTTGATTTGGCTTGGCTTACCTGTCCTTGATGAAAGGAAGACCTTCATTCCTATTCTTGAGCGACGTGGGACTTGGAACAACACTAAATAGTTAGTGCAACCGTTAGTGTTTTCCCAAGTCCCACATTGCTTCGGGAATGAGAATAAAGGCTTTGCTTAGGAGGACGATTCTCATACTTGAATTGACTCAAGTGTTGACACTTTGGTGACATGTGCCTGTTCATAAATATTTATTTATATGCAACTTAAAACGTTTATATTTTATATAAGATAATAAACATTTAATATAAAATAAAATATGCTTGTGTATATATTACATATAAAATATAATACATATATTATAATATGCATATTATATATTATATATTTAAAAATATTATATTGTGGGCTGGGCTTGAAGTGTTGGGCCCAAGCCCGGCTCGGAATTTTCCGAGCTTGATGTGAGCTTGGGCCCAGGCCAGGCCTGCACACAAAAACCTGGGCCCAGGCCCAGAAATTTGCGGGCTGGGCCAGGCCATGCCAAGAATGATCACCCCTAGCTGAATCATTAGCTGGTTCATGGGACAAGCTGAAAGTTTTTGTTAAAAGAGTTGCAACTTTGTGACAACTAATCTCTTGTACTAAGACAGTATTTGTGTCTGTTTTGCGTTAAATCATTCAACTATCTATTTGATGCACTGCATGCTGGATTCAACTGTCCTTGCCATTAGGTGCAGATCCAGATCAGCACTCCCCCAAGGAGGCTTAACCAAGCAAAGGAAAAAGATAAAAACCAAGAAAAAAAAACAGAATGAGATTTTGTAAATTACAACCCTACCCTGGGACTGAACCTGTCTCGCCAGTGGCCTAAAATTCCAAGGAATTTGGTCTTGTGACTTAATCGAACAGATAATGGTTTGGCAGCCACCTTCGACTTCCACATTTCTCATACCTTGCATCATCAACTTTAGTCCTTGGATTAATGTCAGCAGCTCAGGCCTCGAAGAGTTGCCTTTACAACCAGTCCTGAATAGCTTCCTTTTATAACATTAGTATATATCTTTTTTATGTCTTTAGACGTTCTTATTCTTCTAGATTTTTTACAGGATTGGCTGGATATTGATTTTGGGATTGCAGAAGGTGTTGATTTCATTGCAATTTCATTTGTCAAGTCTGCTGAAGTGATCAAGCATCTTAAGAGCTACATTGCAGCACGTTCTCGTGATAGGTAAGCTTATATATTTTTTGACCCTCTAGTTATTTTGTATGGTGCTGTCCTGTGATCTATTGCCTTGACTTTTTAAGTTTATTGAACATGATGAACCAACAACCCTTGGATATCAGTGGCTTGACCATTGTCGGCTTTAACCAGAATGAGGGCTATATACATAAGATGTTTTTGTGAACTTTGTTTTTTGCATTATGCTGTTTAGGTTTTGGTTAGAGATCCTTCAGGTTGTTAAGTATGTGTGGTTATTGGTAAATATGTGATGGTCTAAAGTATACTTGGCTTTCCAGAAAAAAAATTATAGATTAATGTGGAATCAATGGACTAGGGTAAAGATGTTAATTTGTTTGTACGATAAAAATGTTATTTGAATCTTCATTCCTGTTTACTTGCATTTAGTTTGATTAACCATTTTTGAATAACTTATTAAGATTGGTTTATTGAAACTATAATCATGACTTGCCTTATACATTACCCTGATATCATTATAAAACTGCCATCTTTGTAGAATAGTCAAATCTATTTAAACTTTTATGGAACTTTGAAAATTTACTTTGCTTCCCTTCCAAATATGACATTAACATGCTCAATTGTTTTTCGGCAGTGACATTACGGTCATTGCAAAGATAGAGAGTATAGACTCTTTGAAGAACTTGGAAGAGATCATTCAGGCATCAGATGGAGCAATGGTGGCAAGAGGAGATCTGGGTGCTCAGATTCCATTGGAGCAAGTCCCATCAGCCCAACAGAGGATTGTTCAGTTGTGTAGGCAGCTAAACAAGCCTGTTATTGTTGCATCTCAGCTTCTTGAGTCCATGATCGAATACCCTACACCAACTAGAGCTGAAGTGGCGGATGTTTCTGAAGCAGTTAGGCAGAGGGCAGATGCTTTGATGCTTTCTGGTGAGTCTGCAATGGGCCAGTACCCAGAGAAAGCATTGAGTGTGTTGAGAAGTGTCAGCCTGAGAATTGAAAGGTGGTGGAGGGAGGAGAAACATCATGAAGCTATGGAGCTCGCAGAAATCTCTTCTTCATTTGCAGAAAGCATTTCAGAGGAGATATGCAACTCCGCTGCTAAGATGGGTAAGCCTTCTTCTTCTACAATTCTGCCCTTCTCTGAACTTAGAAGGACATTGATGGTGCTTTGCCTTTTCCAAATATCGGGAAGAACCATCTTTTTCCTCCAATATTGGTAAATGTGAACTTAGATGACATTGGCTGCTGGTGACCAATTTTAAGTATGTCCAAACTAAGATGGTTCTCTCTCTCTCTCTCTCGCACACACACACACACATGTATGTGTGCATACGAGAGGTAAGCTTTGGATTAAAAATAAATATCATCCCAGTTTTCATAAACTGGTAATGAAAGTGGACATCAGCCATTAAAACCCTTTGAGCACGTTAAAATGGTGCTCCAGGGGGTTTGATGGTTCAGGAGTTCGACATTCTCTCCTGGATGGGGAAGACTGGGAAAGAAATTTATAATAATCGTGGGGCAAAGCTCCATGTAGAGAATTTTATTGGTCAGTCTGTTATTCACTTGTGTAATTAGTATTGTACCAAAAAGTTATATATGGGGAAGATAGATTGGAAATGGGGCTTTCTAAAAGCTTTAGATTTGATCTCTTTTTACTTCTTTAACATGCATTAACCTGATAATCACTCCCTGCAATGTGAATGGCTTTTGTCCTAAAAATGCAGAGGTGATTGACTCGTAGTCATGGCGTATTACTTTTCCTTATTAACTCATTGCTTTTACATTTTTTCTCTCCCACCCAAAGCATAAGCCTTCTTTGTCTGTCATGTTATTATTGATTAACCTTCTTTGACTGGTTGATAAACCCATTTCTGCAAACTTGTAAAAAGAGAAGCTCCATACTCCCCCATTCACTTGGATGGACCTTAAGGTACCTTTTTCCAGTAGGAGCTCACTTGGTCTAGAGGTTTTAGGTTATTTTTTGGGGGAATTCAAAGGACCTTAAGGGAGCCGATGGCTAACTTCTGGTTGAAGCAAACAACATTTTCTCACTGTCAATATTATGCGTGGAAAATAAATAAAACCTATCACCATATACTGATTATGGCATTAATTTGTTCTTTAGTGATCATTGATTTTGTTGCAGCTGGTGCCCTTTTTTCTGCTGCTGTTTTTTCCCTATCTGATGCTTGATAGTTTCAAACCCATTTGACGAGGGTGTGATTGTATCTTGCAGCCAACAATTTGGAAGTGGATGCACTTTTTGTTTACACAAAGACAGGTCGCATGGCATCTCTCCTGTCACGCTGCAGACCTGACTGTCCAATCTTTGCATTTACAACTACAACATCAGTAAGGAGGCGTCTGAACCTCCAGTGGGGCTTGATACCATTCCGGCTGAACTTCTCAGATGATATGGAGAGCAATCTTAATAGAACATTCTCATTGCTGAAGGCAAGAGGAATGATTCAGTCAGGTGACCTTGTTATTGCTGTCTCTGATATGTTGCAATCCATTCAAGTGATGAATGTCCCGTGAAGTATCTTGAAGTCTGTTCCTTTTTAATAATGGTTTGTTTAGACCATTTGATTATTGCTGTTGGCTAGGAAATTAAGTGTTTTATTATGACAATCGAATGTACTATATATCYTTATTCAACAGCTTGGTTAGTGTTTAGTGATAGAAATACAGTCAGGTGACCTTGTTATTGCTGTCTCTGATATGTTGCAATCCATTCAAGTGATGAATGTCCCGTGAAGTATCTTGAAGTCTGTTCCTTTTTAATAATGGTTTGTTTAGACCATTTGATTATTGCTGTTGGCTAGGAAATTAAGTGTTTTATTATGACAATCGAATGTACTATATATCCTTATTCAACAGCTTGGTTAGTGTTTAGTGATAGAAATACAATGACACGAGTAACTTATTTTGCATTGTAAGGGATTTTGAATTGTCTATTTCTTCCTTGTTCACGTTGTTCTCCCCACCACCACCAGGAGTGATAGGTTACAACTGTGAACTGTCTCACAAGTCATAACACGGAAGGTCTGCCTCGTGAATGGAATATGGAAATGGACCCGCCCCACGAGACTGAAAAATTAAATAAATGTGGCGGTTATCTTTGCCAACTGAACATTCAAAATTCGATATAGAACCAGTTTGATGCAGTGTACTTATCCTAGATAGATTGCTGTGGATTGATGATGGGAGCTTTGGTCAGGGACTTGCACTTTTTTGCAGTATCCCCATGAAACAATGGAACCTAAACAATCGAGGAGGAATTACGTAATGATTTCCTTATTTTTAGAGACTACATGAGGAGATGGTGCGGGGCTTCTATTGAAAAAGCAGAACTTTGGAGTTTGGGCTATCCGTGAAGGTGTTTCATATGCTCTTCAAAGAAACCTGTTTCCTCTCATTGTCGAATCTGACTCCATGTCCACCATCAAGGCCTTGCAAGAATGCAAAAGTCCTTGCTTCAGGATACGATACAACTTATTCATCAATGCCCAAATATCAGCTTAGTTCACTGCTTTAGGGAGGCTAAATAGAAGTGCAGATGCTTTAGCTAATTATGCTGTATCCCAATGTTATCGTAGTAGATGGTTAGATAGTCCTGTCTTTTCCGAGGGAGGATATGGCTGAACTAACACAATGGAAATATTGTAAAGCTACTGTAAGCTAATATAAGTATTCTCGTTTTTGCACCAAAAGAAAAAAAAAACAAAAAAACACTCGATCCCTTTTCCACAGTAGTTGAAGTAGGAGAAAGAAAAACATGGTTGCTTTTAACGCAAGTGAGGAAAGCTTCCGAATGTGATGCACAACACGGCATTAAGACGCTTTTCCAAGTTCCAATGTGTGGAGTGGATAGATTTGTTCCGACCGTAAAGTTTGAAGGAAAAATGGCCCAAAAGGCAAGGCCTAGTAGACTCGACTGTGAAGCAAAACATCATATTGGTTGGTCGTTCAGGTAATGGAATATTCAGCTGCGTATTCAGTGCCTCCTGTTAAAAAAAGGGAAAGCCTACATTTTGAATATGAAAGGTTAACAGAAACAGTTTGGCCATTTCAGGTTACAAGTTGGGTAAGTTAGGTCAGGTTGTGAAGAGTTAAGTCAATCCTTGCCCTATCGGAGATGCAGAATCCCAACCTAATCCTAACAACTTGATGTAATTAAAGTCTAGCCCAACCCAAACTAAAATTCCTCCACCTTAATCCAACCCATCTGAACCCAAATATGACATAGGGTTGGGTTTATCACTTGTGTTGTTGGCCCAGGTTTTTTTTTTTTTTTGCTTTGGGCTTTTAGAAAAGATTGTTCACTTTAGATTATAAGGAGATAATCTTATATTATAGCATTCCGAGTTATAAAGTTTGTCTTTTACATTATGAATTAATCGTTTGAATAGACAACATTCTATTTATTTGAAAGAATAAGAAAACCCTATATTGACTCCAAAAGAAAGAAATGAATTGTTCTCCGTTGGATGTTTGGCTGGGACCAAGTGGCTGGAATGATGTTTGAGATTTGCAACAAGATTTATAGGTTTAGCCGTTTAGGTCACTAATAGTGAGAGCATGGGCATATATTGCTTGGGACCATGGTGGGTTTGGGCAAGCCTGGAAACTCGAAATTTGAAGAGGACTAATCTTATCAATCAGCCACAATTATCAAGCTTAATAAACACTTTGACACTGAAACAAAACATGTTATAACCGACGAAAATAAATCCCAAGTCTACAGAGATGCAAACCAAGCAATTTGAAAGGTTGATCCAGCTGAAGCTGATTCAAAGTAAGTAGTCTCTTGGGAGTAGCTACCTGTTATCAGTGTTAACCTGTTCAAATAAATAAATAAATAAATTGTAATAGACCTTACAGCCGTTTGTTCAGTTGTCGGTGATGTAATACTGGGATGTGAATATATGATCATATCTCTTCATATAAAAGAAGAGTAAGATGGTTATTGAACCATTTCCCAGGCCCCAGGGCCCCTTTAACTGTGGGCTAATCATGAATGAACTCAAGGCCCAAAACCAACACTAGCTCTGATGAACCAAGAGATGGGATGGGTCAAATGTATCTTTTGCACATTAACTTCTGTAGAATCTCATCTTCATTCACTTGATGTGACATTGTCTGATTAGCTAGAAAACATTGAAGGCCTTTGTTTTTTGTTTAGGTAAGTGTTTTCCAAGAAAGACTTATCGAGTAAGTTTATTTATTCATATTCTTTTATTTCCCAAATAAATAAGGCAATGGCTATTTTAGCCCTAAAAATTTATTATTAAAAGGAAATTTTGTCCCGTTCAAGTGTTAGTGACTTCCCTTTAGGTGGGAAAGTTATTTATCCACCTAAAATATGGATACGTGATACCTAGAAAAATAAACTTTCCCTGGTTTCCATAAATATGAAAAAAGAACTAGATTTTTTGGTAATAGGAATCAAAGTTCGATTGACCAATTCTCCCCTCTCTCAAAATCCAAAAAAAAAGAACACTGAAAAGGAAAAAAAAAATCCAGTACACATGAAATGAATGCATAATTAACAACCGCTGAGTCAGTTTAGTGGTTTCTTCTAATAGGCAGGTAGGTGGTAAAGGACGAGCAATTAATGATCAAGAGTTATCTTTTTTTAAAGCCTTGTAGGTAAAAATCATTTATAAATTCATATTACACGACCAGGGAACTCAAACAGCAAGACCAAAAAAAAAAAAAATCTACAAATCCTAGACTAAATAAGTAGGTAGGAGGAACCATGACCATGAGCACAGGAAGAAAATGACCCCAGAATCCTATGCAAATGGTGTAAAAATCCAGAAACGCCAAAAAAGGAGGGCAACTACCTCCAACAGAGACCAATTCAGCAAATGTGATTCCCTCAATTAGCAGGAATGAGACCAAGCTTGAAACTTAGAACCTTATAGATAAGAAAACACAATCGAAAAACAAATACAAGTAATTAACGATATATAGACTGGAAAGGAAGCTTTGTATTTGGCATGGTTTATAAACAGTGACCCCTCCAAGTGGTAGTTAGAATCTAGAGGTCTTGAAGATGTTTGTTGCTCTGTTTCCTTTGGGGTTGAAGTGTATGAGGTTATTGATATTAACGGCCTGTTTGGGAGGGCTCCTGTAGTCCTATATTGATCGAGTGGCTTCAGAGAAGCTATCAAAGTTTCACCGGAAAGTCGATTTCCCAGCTCAGTAGCAGTGCTTTTGGCTTTCATGGATTTTCACCAGACACTGCTTTCTGGATTTTTCCTATGAGGCCTACCTTGCAAGGTAGTATGAGGCTTGAGCTCGGCTTAAGTCAAAAGCTCATAAGATTGAGCTCGGCTCAGTTCGAGTTCGATTTGAGAAAATTGTTTTATAAAAATATTTTTATTTGATATCTAAAAAATTAAAAAAAATATAATAATCAATTATTATTATATATAAAAATAAAAATATTATATATAATGTATTTTTATAATTTTATTTATTATTATTATTATTCGAGCTTGACTCGATTAATAAATGAGCCTGTAAATTGGACTCGAGCTTGACTCAAAACTCGTGAAGAGCCCGACTTGTGGCCACCCCTAGGCACTAGTATGCATTAATCTTTTAATGCATATCATTTCTAAAAATCTCTTGGTTTTATATCAATTGGACCAGACCAGTTGATCCAAGAACCAGCCTTAGGTCCAGGTCTGGGTTTGGTTTTGGATCACAAAACCGTCTGATCCGGGTTTGGACCATGGTTGGACCTTTTGGCCTCGAAGTGATTCTATTTCTGATCCGGCATTCAAAAATATATGCTTTCCCCAATTTCCTTTTGCCTCAAATATTGATTGATAACGATTTCTTATGCAAGGATGATCATGGGTAAGATTTTAATGCTATATTGTGGACATGAATATGTAGAATGTGCAAGCTCGCCAAGTAAACTGCATTTATTGTTTGGCCTGAGGTACTTCAACAACCCCTGATTGGTTACAAATGGTCTGATATCCGAGCCAGGCCGCGGATACGAAGAAGCAGCACACGCTGTGGCATGCACCTGGGCTGCACTATGTGTACTAAACGACAGCCACCTAGCGAAATGAACATTCCATCTGTCCATTTTATTAGATGATGGGCCCCAGACTCTCCCCATGTACCCTTGACGTATCACTTGAGTCAGCTTAATGTGTCCCACAAGGGTCACCATGTGTCTCGCCTCTCATCATCATGTTTTGATCCGCATGTGTGCCCCGCCCCATTCTATATAAAAGGCTGATAAAGTTCAGATCTGCACTGCACTGCACTCGAATTCTGTTAGAAATAATAGTAGAAGTAGGTTAGAGAAGAAGAAACTGGTTGGAATTAGAGAGCAAAATCAAGTCTCTCCATTCCGTTAAGTTATATTTATAAAAAAGTCTGTTATGCCCCTATCTATTTAAGTATGGGATACACCAGCACTTAACTTAAAATATTATTCTTCATACCAAACATAACGAAGAGGACTAAATTACCCCTATATAATCGACACTAACAAAGGTAAATGCCAAAGCTTGCTAAGTAAACTGCATTTGTTGTTTTCTACTTAACTCGGACAGCTCTATTAATTTGGTGGCTTTGATAGTCATCATATTCCTTAGATGAAAATACATTTTTTATTAATTTAATTTTGGATTAAGCTAGGGATGCATATAATTATTAAAAATTTCGTTTGCTTCTGTTTTTGTCTTCTAAAGTGGCTTATGTCTAATGAAGATGTAAATGATTTGACATCAAATCTTAAACGGAGGTCAGGAATGAAATTATTATGGATTGACTAACATAACCAAGTGATTTTATTTGGGAAAACTAGAGCTTGAATTGGACTACTAATCTAAAATTTATAAAAG